AAAAAAAAAAAAAAAAAAAAAAAAAACTTTCGAATTAGAGCTTCAATTCATTAATTTGTCTGTCCTCTGGAAATTTTTTTATCCTTGTTCCATTGTTGATTGACTTGAGAATGTTGTTTGCTGTGAAGCAGGATAAAGAAGCAATAGGAAACATAATATAAGAAAATGGATGAAGCAGAAGCATCAAGATACTGGTGTCACATGTGTTCTCAGATGGTGAATCCTATCGTGGAGGTCGAAACAATAGAATGCCCCATCTGCCAAAGTGGGTTTCTTGAAGAAATGGCCTCTGCCACTGCTACGGAAAATGATCGAACTCAGGCTTTTGGACCTGAAGGGATTGATTCTGAGCGGGCCCTCTCCCTCTGGGCCCCAATCTTGCTTGGCATGATGACTAATTCTCATCGCCATCGTCCTCGAGTTAGACTCATGGAATTTGAAGACGATGGTGAGGAGGATGATAATGAGAACAATAATTCTCACCTTGAGGCGGGGATGGAGCTTGATCGTGAAATGGAGTTAATAATGAGGAGGAGGAGGAGGAGGAGGAGGAATTCAGCTACAATACTCCAGCTCCTCCAAGGTATTCGAGATGGAATGATGTCTGAATCAAGAAATTCTGAGAGTGATATCAGGGAGAACGATAGAGATGATAATAGGAACAGAGACCATATGATTTTGATCAATCCCTTCAATCAAACAAGCACAATTCAGGGTTCCTATGATCCCAATAACGATAACCAAAACCGCATTCCTAGCGGCTCGCTTGGTGATTATTTCATAGGTCCTGGTTTAGACTTGTTGCTGCAGCATTTGGCAGAGAATGATCCAAACAGATATGGGACGCAGCCAGCTCAAAAAGAGGCAGTAGAAGCATTGCCCACCGTGAAAATTGAGGAAGCAGTGCAATGCTCTGTTTGCTTGGAAGATTTTGAGGTTGGGGCTGAAGCAAAGGAGATGCCTTGCAAGCATAAGTTCCACAGTGGATGTATCTTACCATGGCTCGAGCTTCATAGTTCTTGTCCTGTCTGTAGGTACCAGTTACCTTCTGAGGAATCCAAGCTCGATTCAGATGGATCTACAAATCATAGTAATAACAACAATGCAGAGCGGGATGACAGAAATGGAAATGGAAGGCGTTTTTCAGTTCCCCTTCCATGGCCTTTTAGTAGTATGTTTTCATCCTCCAGATCCCAATCTAGTACCGGGACTTCATCCTCAATGTCACCATCTGGTTCTTCAACAACTGGACACCCAAGTACTTCACCTAATGATGAGAACTAAGTTTCCATAAGCTGTACTCATATCAGCTTATTGTGATAAGCTTATTGTGATAAATGTGTTCCATAGATGTTTTGTCTTTCTTTTGTATATAGAGTTTTACCTACCCAATTGTACTATTCCAAAAACAGATTGTGTTTTCTTGTTATATAGTTGTGAATTTGAGATTTTTAAAATGAATTTTGTAGTTTCTTTGGATATAGTTATTTCATATCTTCCATGGGTGTTGCAATGAACCAACAAAAGTTGACAGGATTACCACCATAGCCAACTAATGAAACAGTCGCAAGGGAAGGGTTTTTTTTATTCGAATGCTTATTGTAGTTTTCAAATTAAGAAGACCAGCCGGCCTCAGTGGACGTTGCTGTCTATAGTCACTTAACAAATAAAAAGCAAAGATCCAGCTCACTAGATCTGAAACACGAGGTGCCAAGACAAGAAATAAGCAAACGAAAACATAAGTTGTGTCCATCCTCTGAAGGATAAAAATTAGTAAAAAATCCAGTAGTCTTTTATCTGCATTTATCTCTAACCCCTCTGAAACACGCAAACCCAGTGAGCAGAAATCTCGAATTCATCACTTCACAGTCACAATCTTGATGATTGATGCAGTTCCAATACGGTGAAGGGCCACAACAGCATCTCCCACCTTGCAGAGCCCTTTTGTTTTAGCATATTGAAGAGCAAATTCCAGCGCTTCCTCTGTGGACTCTTCATGAGAAGCCCTTGCAGATCCTGCACAGAGAACGGGAACCAACCCCCTGAAGATAAGGCTGTGCCTAGCTGGAGATTCATCACTGCACAACCAATCAAAAGAATCAGTCTTGATCTCAGGAACAACCACGGATAATATTGGCAAGCCCGGCCTATACTTGGCCACCAGTTTTGCAGTACTTCCTCCTCTGGTTAGGACCAAAATAAGGGATGCTTTTGCTGCATTAGCTGTTCTTACTGCAGATGAAGCAAGGCTCTCTAATGGGCTCATGGGTACTGGAGCATTTGCTGTAATCCTTTTGAAGACATCAGCATAGTCAATTGTACTTTCTGCTTCTATACAGATTTTTGCCATAGTACGAACAGCTAGATCTGGATAAGCTCCTGCAGCAGTTTCACCACTGAGCATCACACAGTCTGTTCCATCGAGAACGGCATTGGCAACATCTGTGGCTTCTGCTCTAGTCGGTCTTGGAGACTTGATCATGGATTCCAACATCTGAGTTGCAGTCACAACAGGCTTTCCTTGGATGTTGCACTTGTAAATCATCACCTTTTGAGCTAAAAATATTTTCTCGATGGGAATTTCCATCCCCAGATCACCACGTGCCACCATGAATGCATCCGAGTTTGCCAGAATATCATCAAAATTTGCCACTCCTTCTTGATTTTCAACCTAAAAAAAATAAAAAATAAAAAGAAATATGAGGAACAAGAATTTGTACAACTACATCATACAGAGTTATACATGCTCGGCCTTAGTCTTGGGCTGATCTCACACTTCAATCAACCCCTTCGTACTTCGATCCAATCAATCGATCGATCAAGAGGCTAATCTCTTTTTTTTGTTTGGGCCGGTAGCTAAAAGAAAGTCCTCGCCTAGACGTATTACGTAACACTTGCTGTGGTTCAGGCTGTGGAGGACGATGCTGAGGTTGTTGATGTGGAACTTGATAGTTCTGTTGACTTTGCAGATTTTGCTGAGAATTAGAATTGAATATATATGGGTAAAAAGAAAATGTTTACCAACCTTTGACATAAGAAGGATGGTTTTGGCATGTTCACCTAGCAACTTTCGAACCTCCACGAGATCTGAACCTTTGCGAACAAAAGAAAGAGCAATCATGTCAATTTTATTGGGAACCCCCCACTTTAAGATATCTTCCTTGTCTTTCTCCGTCAAAGTTGGGAGATCCACAATAACCCCAGGGAGATTTACATTCTTTCTCTCACCAAGAACAGCTGTGTTCTCACAGCGGCATCGAACTAAGCCTTTCTCTTTGTCACAAGACAAAACATTGAATGAGATTGTGCCATCTGCACATAGTATCACACTCCCTGGCTTTACATCCACAGGTAACTTTTTGTAGCTCATGCAGATGGTGTTCTCATCGCCCTTGATGCTATAATCAGTAGAAATTGTGATCTCCTGGCCCTGTTTCAGCTGAACAGGCTTACCATCTTTCAAAAACCCAGTTCGAATTTCTGGACCCTGTGTTATCACACAAATGTCAATGTTAACTGTCCACATAATAAGATTCAAGAGAGAATATTGCGGGAATAACCACTTCAAATCAAGATGGAACAAAGTTCATGAACTCCATTATATTAACACCTAAAAACGAGAACCATATGGAAGAAAATCCTGCACCAGCTCAAAAACCTCCTGAAGTAGACATCTTTGTTTGGGCAGAATTCAGTGGCAAGAGACACAGAGAGACCAGTAGCTGAAGGAAGGACTTTCCCAAGTGGCACAAGATGTAACTGCTTTCTAGTGTATTATCTAACTTAGATGCACAAAAGCTTAAGAAAGTCTAAACCAAAGAATATACTGATCATTCAAAAGCATCATATAAAAAGACTAGACCAGTGTACTAAAGAAGAGTAGAATGTGTTGATAAATTCTCTATAATCAAGCAATTCATCTATTTCTCAATAAGGGAGTTCAGTGGCAAGAGACACAGAGAGACCAGTAGCTGAAGGAAGGACTTTCCCAAGTGGCACAAGATGTAACTGCTTTCTAGTGTATTATCTAACTTAGATGCACAAAAGCTTAAGAAAGTCTAAACCAAAGAATATACTGATCATTCAAAAGCATCATATAAAAAGACTAGACCAGTGTACTAAAGAAGAGTAGAATGTGTTGATAAATTCTCTATAATCAAGCAATTCATCTATTTCTCAATAAGGGAAGAGGCATAGGTAAAGTGGAGGATTCTCAAAAAATTCAGATAATTCCCAAAGTGATGAGAATTTCAGCACAATAGTCCATATAATGATGAAAATGAAGAGCCTCAAAATAAAATATCTCAAAAATATTTGTTATTACAAAAATGAAAAATAAATTCCTTCAAATAAAAGTAGATCAGTCAAAACCATGCTTATGCTGTTTCTGCAGAAGATAGAATCAAACAAACAAACAAAATATCAGATTAAACAGAGGCCGATATGGTAACAAACAGTCACAGATCAATCAATACAAGAAAAAAAGAAAAAGAAAAACTGTCAATAAAATTGCCCTTGTATAACATATAATCACACGCGCTCCCATCACACGCAGAGAAAAAGTAAACCTTGGTGTCTAGCATGACGGCGCAGAGGATTCCAGTATTCTCCATAGCCTCTCGGAGATTATCGAGAGTCTCCTGATGGTACTCGTGAGATCCGTGAGAGAAATTGAATCGGGCCACGTTCATACCGGCACGAAGGAGCTTTTCCACCATCGGCACGGAGCGTGACGCCGGTCCAAGGGTACATACAATTTTTGTTTTGGGTCTTCTCCCCATGATTTCACCGCCGTTGTCATAATTGTTATTCATCGTCGCCATATATGTATGTATCAATTTCAATCTCACAAATTCCGATCCAGAAAATATATGAACTATATTATACTAATCAATTTCAGATGGAGATTTGTTGTGTGAATGTGTGCTTTGAGCTATACTGTCAAAAGCAAAGCACACGAGATTTGAGGTGTCCACGTCAAACACAACTACTGTTAATTATTGATTCTTTTTTTAATGGGTCGCTAATTTTTTAAAATGCATCACTTTAGTCATCGAACTTTTTCTTTTTATATTAATCTCAGTTTATTTACTTATGTTTGGACTATTTCCACAAAGGATTGTTGCGTTGCCAAATGCATAGAGATTTTATTGATCCATTTTGTTCGGAGTTCGAGTCATAATTCAATTTCTCGTACATATGTAAAGACTGAATTCAAATGGATGAATATGTTAAAAATACACAAACCAAATTCACTTGTAGACGAAGTGTTTTTTAGGCGTCAATGCATTTTTCACACACCATCAAATTTGTTAAATTGATAAACTCAAACAATAGTGACTTAATTGAAAAAAAAATTAAATATTGCAATCATTTATGCTAAAACAAAAGTTTGATGACTAAATTGAAACGTTTTAAACTTTGATAGGTTTTTACTGTTTTGTGTCATTCTCGGTTTCAATGGGGTAAAACGCCGTGTTTGAGCCCTATTTTTATTCAAGGATACAATGTGAAATAGTATATTGATAGAAAATGATGATTAAAAAATAAGGATAAGTTTTAAATTTATGTATAATATTATTTTATTAAAAAATGTCTAATTGAAAAGAAGAGGGTGAAAAAATGTTTTTTGAGAATAATAAAAATTTACGTGTAATATTAATTTATTTTTTATTTTTCGTGTTGTATGATGAATTGGAGAGGATACGAAGGGACCATTTGAGTTTATGTTTATCTGACCATTTGTGCAAAGAAAAAGTCTCTTTTACATGGACACAATAATTTATCCTTATAAAAATTCTTCTCTCTCTACCCTTTTAAGTCATCGCTAGGTTAAGCTGCGTTGGTGCACAATATTAAATTGCGAAAAAAGGGACGGTGGAAATGGTTTTAGATCGATAAGATAAATAGCATAAATACCATTTGTTATAACTAAAAATCAAATAGTATTATCTACGTTGATCAATCTAATAACATCCAAAAATTCGGTATGAATATAATGGAACATTAAATGCAACCCACGTGTTTAATACCATTTAAAGTCATATAAAAGCAACTTGAAGACTTTATAAGATTCTATTTACCTATTAAAAAAAAAAAAAAAAGTTGAATCCCAACCTTGAAGGTTCCCACGGCCCCGCTCCTAAAGTTTTGTGAGGGAGGTAAATCGCGAGTTGTGTCTCAACAGGTCAGAGAACAAGAGCTGCTTACAAGGAGCATAAACATTGAATTTTATACGTTTTAAATATTAGGTGTAGTAAAATGTTTATTTGTCTCATTGCGTAGTATTTGTTAAAGGTTAACATTTTCTAAAGATTTATGAATTTAATAATAATGACAATTTAAAATTATTAAATATATGAATGGTCTTTGGCACTCAACGACCACCAATCGACAACCCTCCAACGACTCTAAGGTATGTAAAAAGGGTAAGAACATGAATACACTTGGGTGTTTTGCATAACTTATATATTTTAAATTTCTTACTTCTATATTTTTAAGACATGCACTTTGTTTCTCCACTAAATTGATAATATGTATTATGATAAAAAAAAAAAAAGTATAACGTGATAAACTTCGTGCTGAAATGTGATCGTAACTTCATATTAAATTTTAGGAAATGGCACCACCTACTCGTACGAATTTGATGCGCGATTTACTACGAGCGGTACAAGAGTTGAGCAGGCAAAATTTAGCACCTCCACCACAAAATGCACCGCCACAGCAGAATGCATTGCATTTTGCCCCTGGAGCTGTCTCAGTGGTTGAGCAGTTTCGTGGGTACAAGCCTTTCACTTTTGACAGTAATTCTGAACCATTGGTTGTCAAAGAGTGGATAAGAGGTCTGGAGCGCATATTTCGACACATTGCTCGTACGGATGCACAGAAAGTGTTATGTGCGGAATTTATGTTGATTGGAGCAGCTGGTCACTGGTGGGAATCTGTTTCACGTACAAGGACGGATGAGCAGCAACGTAATCTGACTTGGGAGCAGTTTAAAGACGAAGTGATGGCAAAATATTTCCCACAGGCTTTGAGGGACTTCAAGGAATCAGGATTTTTGCAACTCTGACAGGGAAACATGTCACTTACTGATTACGAGAGGCAATTTGAGCAGCTCTCAAGATATGCCCTGCACTTGGTGGATACTGAAGTTAAGAAGATTAGGAGGTTCGAGAATGGACTGTGACCAGAGATTGGCATGATCATTATGTCCCATCGTTTCACTTCATATCGTGAAATGTTGGAGAGGGCTCATGCTATTTCATATCAAAGGATTGCATTAGAACAATATGCCCAGCAAAGCAAGGAATCGTTGGGGAAAAGAAAGTGGAGTGATCAGAGTAAGAACAAACGTATCTGGCAAAATAAAAGAGCAAACACAGGAGTTCGTATCGGTGGGACGAGTGAAAGTGTTACACCTTGTCCTAAGTGTAATAAATTTCATCGAGGTGAATGCGTTTTCGGAAAGAACATGTGTTTTCGGTGCGGTAAGCCAGGACATATTGCTTTACACTGTACAGAGCCTCCACGAAAGAAAGATGATGACCAAGATAAGAACCCAAAAGGAAAGGCCCGAGTTTTCGCACTGAATCAACATGAGGCGGAGCAGGATCCGAATGTGATAGCAGGTATTTATTAATATTTATTTTAACATACCTGCCTATGTTCTTTTTACCTAGGAGTAAATATCGTTTCATTTGTGTCCTTTAGTTGCTAGTCTAACACTCTAATTACACAAAAAAAATAGGTATTCTATTATTATCCAATGTGCCTGCTTACGTACTTTTTTGTTCTGGGGCTACCAATTCTTTTATATCTGTATCCTTCGTCGCTAGGTCCAACTTTGCATGTGTTAGAATGAATAATGAATTAGAGGTTAGCATCCCGTCAGGAAAAACTCTTTGCACGAACCAGATGACTAAATCTATGAAGTTAGAGATTGATGGAAAAATATTGGAAGCAGACTTATACCTCTTGGAAATGAAAGATTTCAATGTTATTTTAGGCATGGATTGGTTAGGACTTAATCATGCAACCATTCTATGTCACGGAAAAGAAGTGCTATTTCATAGACCAGGAGAGGAAGGGTTCCGTTTCTTTGGAGCAAAGTTCAAGTCTCCACCTCGCCTTGTATCGGCTTTACAAGCAGAGAAGATGTTGAGAAAGGAGTCATGCCAGGGATTCTTGGTTAACATCATCGGTTCTCAACATACAGAAATGACTGTTAACGATATTAACATCATGCGAGACTTTGCAGACGTATTCCCAGAAGAATTGCCAGGCATTGTATCAGATAGGCAAGTGGAATTTACAATTGATTTGGTTCCTGGAGCAGCACCAGTATCTAAGGCCCCATACCGAATGGCACCGAAAGAACTTCAAGAATTGAAGTTGCAATTAGAGGATTTATTGGAGAAAGGTTTTATTCGACCAAGTGTATCTCCTTGGGGAGCACCTGTACTTTTTGTCAAGAAGAAGGATGGGAGTATGAGGATGTGCATCGACTACCGGGAATTGAACCATCTGACCATAAAAAATAAGTACCCGCTACCAAGAATAGAAGATTTGTTTGACCAGTTAAGGGGTGCTTCAGTGTTTTCAAAGATCGACTTGAGGTCAGGGTATCATCAACTGAAAATCAGGACAAGCGATATACCAAAAACTGCTTTCAGAACTCGTTATGGGCATTATGAATACACTGTCATGCCTTTTGGTTTGACCAATGCTCCAGTTGTATTTATGGATCTCATGAACAGAGTATTCCATCAATACTTAGATCAATTTGTCATAGTATTTATTGACGACATACTCGTGTACTCCAAAGATAAAAAGTAGCATGAGGAACAACTCCGAATAGTACTTGAGACTTTGAGGAAGGAGAAATTATATGCTAAATTCAAGAAGTGTGAATTTTGGCTTGATCGTGTAGGTTTCCTTGGTCACGTGGTTACCGCCTAAGGAATCGAAGTAGATCCTGCTAAAGTGGAAGCAGTAACAAATTGGCCAAAGCCGACTAGTGTGGGTGAAGTTCGCAGTTTCTTGGGGTTGGCTGGCTATTACAGAAGATTTATTGAAGGTTTCTCAAAAATAGCAGGGCCAATGACTCAGTTAACAAGAAAGGGTGTGAAGTTTCAGTGGATGGAAAAATATGAAAAATGTTTTCAAGAACTCAAATAGAGGCTAGTCTCGGCTCCTGTATTAATGATACCTAAAGGTTCAGAGGGATTTGTGATCTATAGCGATGCCTCCAAGCAGGGTTTGGGTTGTGTACTGATGCAACATGGAAAAGTGGTTGCTTATGCCTCGAGACAGTTGAAGCAGTATGAACAAAACTATCCAACACACGACTTGGAGCTTGCAGCGGTAGTTCACGCCTTAAAGATATGGCGTCATTATCTCTATGGTGGGAATTGTGAAATTTATACAGACCACAAGAGTCTTAAATACTTCTTCACACAGAAGGAACTGAATATGAGACAGAGAAGATTGTTGGAACTAGTGAAAGATTATGATTGCACGATTCATTACCATCCGGGTAAGGCTAACGTAGTTGTAGATGCCCTAAGCAGAAAGACAGGATCACAGTTAACAGTTCTATCCACAGTGCAGAAACACCTGATAAGGGACTTTGAGAAATTGAGATTGGAAGTTATCACACCACCGACTCATACTATAGCAAAAGTAAGAGCGTTTATGATTCGGCCTACCCTTCGGGATCGAATCAAGGAGGCACAAAATAAGGATCCATTTCTACAGAAGATAAAGGATGAGGTTGGCACAAACAAACGCATGGGATTTGAAATGTCTGCAGATAACACGCTGACTTTCAAAGGGAGGTTATGTGTACCTAAAGATGAAAGTATAAGAAATGAGATACTGGAAGAGGCTCACTCTGCCCCGTATTCAGCACATCCAGGTGGTACAAAAATGTATCGAGATCTCCGAGATACATTTTGGTGGAGAAATA